GAAGTAATGACCCAGTTCTCCCGGAGAACAGTGGCAGAGCTGGAGAGAGATGGCAGCTCTCAAGGGCCTCCATCCCTCTGTCCTCCATCCCTGGGCTGTCATAGAATCATGGAATGGTTTGGGTTAGAAGGGACCTTAAAGACCATCCAGTTCCAAACCCCTGCCCTGGGCAGGGACACCTCCCACCAGACCAGGTTGCTCCAAGCCCCCTCAAACCTGGCCTTGAACCCCTCCAGGGATGGGGCAGCCACAGCTTCTCTGGGCAACCTCTTCCAGTGGTCCCTCACATCTGCATCAAGGGAGCTCAGGGATGCTGCAGTATCAGCCATGGCCATAAGATAAATCCCCAATCAAATGAAAAAAACCTCCCGTGGTCACTGAGCAGGGATGAACCCCATACTGCCAGTCTCCAAAACCATTCTGGAGCCCACAGGCAAAGAGGAGCAGTGGGTGCCACTGCCGTGAATACTCCTGGCTACCACCAATGGAAAGTTCTTCACTTGCAAATCAAGACCTGTAAATAACAACAAGGAGAAAGGGGTAGGTAATTCTCCTGCCCTGCCAAGAACCACCTGCAATTTGACGCACTGACGCACCTGAAAGTCATTTCCAATTTTACAGGGAGAGAGTTGGAAAAGCCTCAAAGTAATTTTTCTCTGCTTTAACTTGCACACTGCAAAGAGGAACAAGGATATTACGCAGCGTTGCAGAATCAATAGTTATTGTGGAAATTATTGGTTTGATGTCAAGACCAATTAGCCACAAGTGGAATTAGCACATACCCTGCGCGGGAAGACAAGTACATGTTCTTCCCTAGATGGGAAAGATGTTGGCCACGCAGAGCCTCCACACAGGTGTGCCCAGAAACTTTGTAATTAGCATCACATTTCCCAAGGCTGAGAAACCTCACACCACGTCCTCTCAGCCCAAAAGAGGCTGCAGCAATAACTTGTCCTGTAGAAAGGACAATTGTCCCTGCTTTGTCACCCCACGTTGGAGAACCGTGCTGGCTGAGAGCAACTCAAAGCACCATCTTATCCCTACACCTTTCCATTACTGCCCGGACTTGAGCCAACAGAAATTTTATTCCACATTGCTGCTAGGATTTATTGCCTTTCATGGACTAATCTACACCATGCCTGGTTTGGCTACTGAGAAAGAGCTCAACGCTTGAGATTCAGTCCTGCTTGAGGATTAAGGGCTTTAGATGAGAAAATAAGCATAGATGCAGGCGTGAGGAACATGCAAAGCTTGTCAGGCTGAAGGAAATCAGCTGCACAAATTTTACTAAACTTTAAAGATTCAAAAGAAGCGAGACAAAGGAGCTAATTTTCAGGACCTCTATGCAAGGCGGTGTAAAATTGGATGCTTTTGCAGCAGCTTAATCCACACTTAATCTCATCCTGGGGGTAGCCAACACTGAAGAAGACCTTGCAGAGCCCAGGGAGGGAGGCAGCCCCAGGGCTCCCCCCGCCTTCTGCTTCTCCTCTGGACCTCCTCCACTTGTCTGCAAAGCCAACCACCTCCATCCACAAAACCAGTTCCTCAGTTCAGCCTGGGGGGGTAGAGCTGGGACCCATCACCCCATCACTGAGCACCATGGCACAAACACCACGGTGGAGGAAGGCTCCTGCAAGGAGCTGAAACCTCCTCATCAGCAGATCAATCCATTCCCCCCCCCATAAGAGGCTTTTGGGGCCAAAGGGGATTTTCTCTTCCAGCTTATTAAAGCAAATAAAATGCACCGAGTGGCTTTGCCGGCTGCGATCTGCACGTGGTCACTGCAGTCCCTTTGAAATCCACTAAACAGTACAGCAAACCTTGTCCCCTGTGGCACCTTTTGGGCACAACCCTTGGTGGGCAGCAGACCTCAAGGATGTTCATACAAACTTCACAACCCTTGAAATAAGGAGAGCTGCCCCGAGCACAGCCGTGCAGTGGAGGTGACAATGTCTGCCAGGTGGGGACAGCATTTAGGTGAGGATGGAGTGGTACAACAGGATCCTTTAGACCTTCAGAATGCCTCCACTGGGATAACTTGGGCAAAAAATGTCATTCCCACGTATCCAGCAGTATGCTGTGAAATGCACCTGCAACAATTCCTTGTGATAGTTCCTCTGTTACTCTTTGTTTTATTCTCAAATCAGCTCTGCATCCGTTTTGCTGAAGTGAGACCTCACTGTGGTGGTGGAAATGGAAAAAAAAAACCCTATTCACAGTTGTAGAAACGCAGAGAGGACTCAACTGGGGTGATCACCTGAGCTTCCAGACTCTCATAACTGAAATCCCTGGAAGTCCCACCGCATCCACACTCAGTGTCCACAACAAAACCCTGACCCCTTGTTGCTTTTACATTTACTCTGCAAAAAAATCGCCTCAGCTTTCAGGGGAGGTCCCGAAGCTGTGGCTGATGCTGAAGTCAATGTGCTGGTGCCATCCAGAGGTACTTGGGTGTAGCACACAGCCTGGTGTGAGAAAGAACCATCATGCAAGAGAGAGGACCTATACACAAGCTTATATATCAGACTTTAAACTAAAGCCGCCGGGAAACAATCACATTTTCTGTTATTTTCAATTTCCCTTGTCCATCAGCTTTCGTTCACTTCTATTTTTCCATCTCTCCTACTACTCACTGTTTTGATTTTCCATGAATACTAAACCAGTCATTCTCAAAAATATCCACATTTCTGGCCTCTCTTGGCAAACCAGAGCTATTTCATTTTACTCACAATTGCAAACAGCAGGACTGGCACCACACACTCATCTGCATTTCGCTGCCACACAACAGTCTATGATTCCAGGTAACAGCCACCACACACTGAAACGGGAATCCTAACACTAAAACAGTCTTTTTTTGCCCCATCTAGAACAGCTGATGGCTCCCTTTTAGCTGTAAAATGACGACTCTAACTTGACACAAGAAGATGTTTTTCCAGCATGTGATTATATGTATTTATGCGTGTGTGTATAACTAGTTTATGTCAGTTGCCTGAACAGTCAATGACGACTCTAACTTGACACAAGAAGATGGTTTTCCAGCATGTGATTATACGTATTTATGTGTGTGTATAACCAGTTTATGTCAGTTGCCTGAACAGTTTGGATCCAGCATCACCTGTGGCATATTCTGATGGGCAAAGTATGTCACAGGAGATACTTGCTCAGCAGCAAAGCTCTAATTCTGCTCTGTGTGCAGAGGCACTGCCTTCACTGACCTTCACTGACACCCACACCTCTGTGGCATTGAGATGTGGATTCACAAAATTCATATCCTCTTAATACCAGAGTAAAATCAACCGCTGAATTCTTATTTTCTCCTTTAGGAAATTAATGGGATTACCTAGATTCCCGACAAATAATCCCAACAGCACCAACAAATTATATACTTACTTTAATCCTTGGGATTTTTTGAGCTTTATTCAGATAGATAACTGATTTTGAGAGGTACTATGTTAAAGATGCAAAAATAGCTAACTGCAATACACTTGTACCTGTCTTTTTTTTTCTTCTCAGAAATCATCACTTACTGTCCATTAGAATTAAAGCACTAGTTATTATTTTATCACCTTACACAAACTAACAGGAGCATTGAGAAACAGATAGACTGGAAAACTAACAAAATATCTTTTCAGATAGCCCACGGCAAGTACCATTCTCACTTGCAGCATCCCTCCCCAAAAGAGCATCCTTCTTTTAGTGTCTCAGTATTTGAAAAATCAAGAAAAACTGTAAAAATATAAAGTATGTCAAACGACAGATGGTGTCACTGAACCACATACTACAAAGAGGCATGGTTATGGTGAAGAGGAGATGGTTAAGAGGAGATTTTGAGTGTTATGGAATCCATACGTTAAATGCAAGGCCCAATGTCTGCACTGCATTTGAAGAGTCACCTCAAGCTGCCTTCAAACCTAACCTGGTCTGAGGATCTACTGGTGGCTTCATTTTCCACCTGGCAACCCTGGACCATGCCCTGTTTATAACTGCACTCGGGTCTCCTGTTGGCAGCTGCAGGGAGGCAGCTCTTGGGTCAAGATCATGGAGAAACCTGCACGGAGAAGGCTTTGAAGGGTCATTTCAAACCCTGAGGAAGCCTGTGCTCTGCTAAGGACATGGAGAGAGGAGAAACAGCTCAAGTGTTGAAGACATCTCAGCGCCGGATCCATGTCTGGAGGAAACAGCAGACATATGGAGTCCTTCCTAAAGCTGTGAGACATGACCCAGGGAGATCACCGAGTTGACAGTCTAATTTTAGAATCTCAACCCTGCTAGAAGCTTCAGACACCAAACCCTGAGGAAGCCTGTGCTCTGCTAAGGAGAAGGAGAGAGGAGAAACAGCTCAAGTGTTGCAGACATCTCAGCGCCGGATCCATGTCTGGAGGAAACAGCAGACATATGGAGTCCTTCCTAAAGCTGTGAGACATGACCCAGGGAGATCACCGAGTTGACAGTCTAATTTTAGAATCTCAACCCTGCTAGAAGCTTCAGACACGTCTCGTATCGAGCGCACAACACTTTCACGCAGCAGCAGAAAAAAATAATTAAATAAGCAAAACCAAAGAAAGACACCAGTTCTATGCACCGAGACGAAAAAAATTGCAGCAGTGATTTAACAGAAAATATTTCTTTAAAAGATGAGAGACAACGTGTCCTCCCCTTCCTGCCCCTTTCACACAGTGTTTTCCCAAAATGCATTTTACGAATGAAAATGTCATCATCCACCCAAGCCCACCCGCTGCACAAGGAGGTGTTTGTTGGGACAACAAATAGAAGTGCACCTTGATGGCAAATTTGTCCCACCAAGGGGAAAAGATCTGGAAAAGGCATGGAAAAAAATCAGCTTTTGCACTTTGGCTTTGAATGTGCACCAAGTTCCAAACCACAACTCCTTTTCTTTTAGAAATTTAGTTCGTTGTGAGGAAATTAGAGCACAGCGTCGTGCTCTACAACACAAAGATGACCACTTGGGCTTATTTCCCCTCTTTTCCACACTCACTGACCTGTACTTCCCCGTCCGCACCTGCAGAGCTCTCATCCCGCAGCGCTGGGCGCCGCCGACGTCGTTCACAATATCGTCCCCGATCATGATGGCCTGTCAGAGAGATGAAATACAGAAAACCTGGCGGCGAGGGCAGTTTATTTCTGCCATACGTCAGGCGCCCCTGACATAACAAACAGCTTGATTTGATGTTTAATACTGCCATCAGACAAATTAAACAAGATAATATTGTCGGCGTATTGATTAAAAGTCATCCCACCCGGAATATAACTCACCCCGTGGCTCCTCCAGCGATGTACTGGTGCGGCACACGCCGCACAATTTGTAATCAATCACAAAATCCAAAGTGATTTGGCACAGCCCAAAGAAAACGTGGAATTTTGTGAAGCTGGTCCTATTCTCGTCTCCCAGTGACGCGTTTATGTTATGCTCCACGCAGTTTAAATTAAGCTTAACTTTTTCAACACCTCCTTAAAATTGGTATTCTAAAAGCCAGTCAAAAGCTTAAGCTTGTGATCACTGAGATGTGTAACTTCACAGAGTTTGATCCCAACCCATGCTCAGGCTAATACAGAAATTTGGAAAATCACTGTAAAATCTAATTATTTTTGCATTATATGATATGTGATACGTAGCACCGTTTGCATACAGTCAGCTTAAGTCTATGCAAATATTAATAAATTCAATTGATTCCTCAAAAACTGTAACTGAGAAAAGACCTCCTGGCAGCACTAAGATTTGTCCGAGCATCTGATGAAAATATGGAGCATGAACATTCACTTCAGAGCTCCTGTTTTAGTTCAAGAGCTTTGTTAAATCGAAGCCTGTCAACCAAGAGGTTGGGAGTTTCTCAATAACAACCGCAGCTTCAAAATTTCAAGTGCTTATTATCATCCTGCATTAAAAATTATTACATTTCTTTTATTCTTCAAATGTAAAAATGGTTGAGGGGGCCTCATTTTATAGTTTAAACAAAACCCAGCATATATACAAAACAGTAATCTTCAATTAATAAGCAAAAAAATCAACTTTCAACCTTCCAAAGGCATTCTGGAGAGAAGGGAGGCAGCACCTGAAACTGGGGAAACGCATCATCTCTGAAAACATGAACTATCCAGTTTATTTATCCAGTTTTAAAGTGTGCGTTTGCACCTTCTGTATCAAAGTTGAACTTTATATGAAATACATTAATTAGTTGCATCGTTAGCCACTCGATCTTCATCTCATTGACTTACCCTCCTGCTTCACAAGCCTAAGCCAGCCTCGCACAGCGATCCCACCTTGTGAGACTAGCAATTCCTGCCTGAATTCTAGTCCTTGCTTCCAAGTAGTTTTGATTATTTCCATACCTGGACATCACATACATGGAATCACGATGTAAAGTGGTTTTTTTCTTACTAAAGTAATTGCTGCTATATTATCACTAAAGTAAATGCCTTCCCCTGTAGATAGTTCATCTTCCCTTACCACTTCTCCAAACAAGCAACGGAATGGGGAGGAAACGATGGGTTAATTTTAAGTAATTAGCAAATACAGCATGCACACACAGAGGAGGAAAAGAGAATAATCCCAGTGTTAGATGCAGAGCTGCAAAGAACCCGGCGACACCGGTCCCACCAATTTCCCCCCAAGCTGCTTTAAGATATTATTCTCAACGTTAATAGCTTCAAATCCCTTCTTCTTATAAAATTCCTCCCAGTGCTTCCCTGAGGGGGGACAGGGAAAGGGAGGAGACCCCGGATAGTCAGAAGGGGGGACCCCAGGAGCCTCCTGCCCTGCCCCTTTGTGAGCCTGAACCTGGACGTTCAGGATGGGATTTCCGACGCAACGGCAACCTCAGCCCTGGCTCCTCAAAAAACCTTAAAAAATTAATTTCCTCTGAAAAAAAGGGGGAAAGGGCAGAGTGGGGCAGCCCCACCAAGGCCTCTCTCGTTTGCTGGGGCTGTATTTTACCCCATCCAGGCAAGTTTTCCTGCAAGACACCCAGCAGCTCTGTGAGTGCGGCTGCGGATGAGCGGCGATGCCTGTCCAGGCCAGCTTGTGGCATACGCATACCAAAATGTACTCCAGCCCCCAGGGATTTCACAGATTTACTATCGGTGAAGGGCAATAATCACTAAAGGAGGAGCAATTATTCCCAAATCATTTAGGATTTAAAAAATCATTGGCAAGAAGATAGAGGTCAAAAGGTGCGCTGTCAAGGGAAATAAAAAAAACTCTACCTGTCAAACCTGGGTTTAACTTCCTCTCTGACTGCAATATGGTAAGAAGAGAGAGAAAGATATAAAACTGAAAGGTCACATACCCACTGAAAGCAAGAATTAAAAGATCCCCGCTCGTGTTCACATTTTACAGGGGGATCACACCATTAATCTGTTCAATTATTCTGCGGAAGTTGCTTTTTTTCAGATGGGTTAAAAATTTACCAAAAAGAAGGGTAAAACGCAGCGAGATGGTCTCTCTGGTTTTACAACAAAACATCAAAGAATTAAAATGAACGTATTCATATTTTCCTAATCCATACAGCTGCTGAGAGACGGTGTGTGTGGCTGTACACATGCAGTACATAAAGCACACGTGTGCCAAAGCTGAGTGAGGCCACAGCTCTTGAGGACTTCCCATCAAACCCAACCCAGATGAGCAGGGAGAACAGAGGAGATGAACAGCACCTCCAAGAATCTGGAGGTGGGAAGGGAGAATATAATCCCCACTGGACAAACGCTGATGACCATCATGGTCATCAGCAATCCTTCTGGTGGTGTACGGGTGACGGACCCAGAGTTGAACAAGGTGGGGACTGACTCACCCACAGAAGCAGCCAACGCTACTAAGCCTTCAGAGATGCTGGCGGGGAGGTGAACGAGAACCTTGGGTACTTTTTCTCTGCAAACAGAGTTTTAATATTCACTAAAATCACAGAAATATTGTGATCAGAAAAGGAATTATGGAGTAAGAAAATCACAGAATCATAGAACGGTTAGAGATGGAAGAGACCTTAAAGATCACCCAGTTCCATCTGAAGCATCTCCAATGCTTCAGCATCCCATATTACTCTTAATTATGTTTCTATCTTGGAACTACTACCTGTGCAAACACCCAACACACAAAGGGCATCGCACGTGGCCTTGGACCTGGGAGAAGCAACAACAACCTACAACAAGGCAGATGAAACAAAGAAATCCATCCAACCTCCAGGTTCTTCCTAAGACTTCCCAAGGCTGCAGGACCAGCCGGGGCTCAGCGAGCTTTCAGCAGGACTCAAAGCTCAAAACTTCCCCCAGCCACCTCGCTCGTCTGTCGGAGATGGAAGATCTTCTCCCCTTGTGGCTGGTGAGAGGGAAAGGGATGCTGGCCCAGCAGAAGGTCCTCTCGGGGTGACCTCCCCGGTGGTCCCTCACACACCACTAACTCCCCCCTGAGACTCACAGGTGGCAGGAGTGGGAATTGGTTAACTACCGGGAGTTTATGCACTCCAGGACGACCTGCCATAACTCCCATTGGAGCAGGACAATTTGCTACAGAGAGAACTTTTTATGATTATATAAAACTACCGGAACCTTACCATTATTTAAGTTTTATTGTAAAGCTGTAAAAATCATCCACTGTTACAGCTGCCTTAAAACACATGAATTAGGCATTTCAGTAACCTTTAAGATGTGTTATTCTTTGTCATATTACTGAATCATAAGATAGGTCTGGTTACCTCTAAGAGGTTTAAATTTCCAATCTATTAAAGTAATACCGGCAATCTGTTATTTCTAGGCCATTGAGGAAAGGTTAAAATGAAAATTGGACTTTGGGGAGTTCCTCCTATTCTAAGTGCAGGCTGAAAACATCTCGGCAGCAGAAGGCAAAGTCAGGGTCTCGGTAAGAAGCAGTTATCAAGGGAAACGACTGGTGATAACTTTATTGATTAAAGCAGCTTGAGAAATTTAAGATTCGCCACTGTCTAGCATTACTGTGGCGAGACAGCTTTATTAAAAAGGTATTTTTCATTAAAAGTCGGGCGAAAGAAAATTGTAATATGTTTTCAAAAGCACAGCTCATCTAAAACGGTTTAATGACGGTATGGATTAAATGCATTCCACAGGTGGAATATATTACTGGCAAACATTTTACAGAAGTAAAGGCAAGTGAAACCAGTCCTTGTCATGTCATTACAAATGCAGAGAAGTACAGCTCATTCGGGAGACAGATTAAAATGTAATACAGTGCATTACTCAGGAACCTATTGAACTGAATATACTGAGTTTTTATTATTACTGTGGATGACAAACTAAAACAAGCTGCAAATCCTTCTCAAAAGAACTTTAAACTTGCAAGGTCAAGCACTCAAAAGTTGGGAGAAGATGTTAGAATTGAGGTAATTTCCTATAATTTGTTCTGCCTACACATGTGCATCATGATCCAGGTTTTAACTCCACAGCACGGACTATTTTTTCCGTAGTCAAAAGCACAAAGCGACTGGTGCCATTATGCAGTGGTATCTGCTCTACTCCTTGGCTCCCTTCATCTCAAATCTCTCTGAATACAAAAAATTACACCTACAGACTAGACATATTACTGCAACAAATTGAGGGCATTTAACACTAGAAACTATACGGAAAAACCCACAACCCTCTGTCAAAGTATAAAGTTAGTCACTAGTCGCGCTAGGGCAAACAGCAGAGAAGGAATAAATAATCTCTGCCGGGGACTATTACTGCTCTTCTGTACCCAAAACAAATCCTCCTGAAGCTGAGGAGAACCATCCACTGAGGCTCACCCTATGGGACCATCTTTAACACCCTGGTGATGCATTAAATCCAATTTGTTTCTGGGGGCAGGGTTTCTGAGACAGGAGTTCTGTCATGCCCCTGTAACAACGTCTTCTCTCGTCAGCATCTGGGGACAACTGCACTGTCCTGCCCATGGAGAAGGGCAAGTAAAAGGGCAAGTAAAGCCACTACGCAGGACACAAGGATAAAAGACCCCCAAAATCCCCTCTTCCGTCCTACTCCCATATCATTTCTGATATAAGCAGAAAGCAAACACAAACCTTCACGCATCTGATTGAGGGACACAAGGATAAAAAACCCCAAAATCCCCTCTTCCCTCCTACTCCCATATCATTTCTGATACAAGCAGAAAGGAAACACAAACCTTCACGCATCTGATTTAAAGAAACAATACCCAAGGGCTGAGCTCTGTGGGGTTGGTTTTTTTTTTCCCTTTTGTTCTTTTTTCCAGCTACTTTTTCTTCAAATGCCATTCTGTGTCTGAAATGGATTTTTTTTCTTTTTTTTTTGGTTTGTTGGTTGGCTGAATGGATTGAATAATTGCCGTGGCTGTTCCTGGGATATTCTGTTCAGGCTGAGCTGTCTTGTTACTGGGAGGATATCGACAAAGGGAAGGGGGTACAGAAAAGAGCTCTGCAGAGGGACCGAGCCACAGGGGAAGCTGCTGAGAGCTAAACACCCCTTATTTTAGTAAGAGACAACTACTATAATAATAGCAAGTCTAGAGATAATCAAACAGAGAAAATATCCAGGAAGGCAAGCAGTTATTCTGGCTATTTCCTGGAGTAAAACTAGAAATAAGGAGATGCAGTTTAAAAGGGAAGGATCCCAGTGCATCTCAGAGAAAGCTGTCTGTCCCCAAGACCTACTCAGCTGGGAACACTGTCCCTGGGGCACTTGGAGAAGCCCAGTTGTTTGGCTCACTGAAAACTACTCTGGACAAAACATTAATAAACGTGGAGCAGGGAACACTCCTGCACGGGGAAGGAGATGGATTAGATGGCCTACTAGGTCTTTTCCATCTCCCCACTCTATAATAAAGTAAAACCCAAGCACATACTGAATTACAGGGCCATAATTTCATCTCCAGGCTCTGGGGACCTCCAAGCCACCCAAACTTCACTCCTGTTGTTTATAATGTCACCAAAACCCCCTGATGGAATTATTACCTTGTAATTCACTGCTGTCTGTGAGTCATCTCATACTCATCCTTATGTCCTGTGTGACATAACAACAAATCAATAAAGAGGATCTGGGCACAACTACAGAGAGGAGGGGGAAAAAGTGGGCTGTATTAAGAAAGTGGGGAGCATCACACATTCAGTGTGTTTCTGGAAAGTGTGATGAACCCAATAACACATGAGGAGTTTTGGGGTCAGTCAGGGCTTCCTGTTCACCTAAATTAGAAAGTGTTTTATTTCTGCTTTTCCCTTTAACTCAAAAAAAAAAAAAAAAAAAAAAGGGTTTAATATTTTTCCTAGAACTTTTTTTTTTTTTTTTTTTTTTTTTTTTTTTTTTTTTTTTTTTTTTTTTTAAAAAAAAAAAAAAAAAAAAAAAAAAAGGTAGCCAGTGTGAAACCAAAGAAAAAAAATACCATTTTGGCTGCCATTCCACCACCCTTCAGCCTCCAGTCACCAAGCAGACCACCAGGCATTGGGACACCTCTCATCTTGTGAGGCACATCTTCCACAATTCCTCAGGAAAACTAACTTTGTCCTTTTCTATTTTTAATTTAGCCTCCAAACAAAGGAATTTCACAACAGAAGTGCATGTTCTTTTGAACTACATGGTTTGGGAGGAAGGGGAGTAAGAAAGCACAACACAACAGTATAAATAGGAGATACCACAGCAGAGAATGGAGTGATGCACGGGAGATTCTACATTGGGTAGAGGTATGGATGGCACAAGTCAGAGCAAAGACAGACAGCCAGGAACAAAAACACAAATAGCACGCAAAAAGAACCCTCAAAAAGCAGAGAAAATAACGTCATGCCTGTCAGGAGGGTAACAAGCACACACAGGGCAAAAGAAATTCAACAGGTCCCCGCTTGCTTGCATTTACCCTCTTGGCTGTCAGTCCTCTTTTGTCTATTTTGCATTATTTAATAGGGGGGCTCTCCCTCTGAAATGTTTTTCCAACCTTTTTTGTTTTTTTAAAATAATACATAGGAAGATCTTGAAAATAAATATTTCTCTGCACACTGGGTCTGGAAAAAAATATTTGCATATCCACTCAGAGTTTCCCATGCCCTCCTGGCCACCTTCCTTCAACCTCCCTGTAACTTTCCATGAAAGGCAGCAAACAAACAAAAAAATAAATGCATCCATAGGTACAACTACATGGCACAGGCAGGAGTCACAGCATCAGAAACCTTACCTCTTGTGGTGGGACTCCCATTTCTGCTAAGGCTGACTCAAAAAACGCTTTTGATGGCTTTCCCACTACTTCAGCTTGGACATCACAAGCGTACTGCAAAAAAAGGACACACACACACAAATAATGCTGATCAGAAAAGGATTTGTTCAACTCCACACCCCAGTCAATTGTATAAAAAGTGTGTGATTATTGATTTTGCCCTTAAATACCACAATGGATTAGCGGGTGAAGGTGAATATCAGAGAATTTGGATAACAGAAGTGTTTAATGTTCTCTGGCAGAAAAGAAAGTCCTCCTGAACCATCTCAAGTTACAAACCTTTCACATTCTCCACCACGAGAGCAATCTTCAGGCTCAGTTCCAGTATCACTCATTTTTGAAAGAACACCACTCTTAAAGAAATAGTAAATATCCTAGATATGAACTGATCAAAAGTGCTGGAGGGCCTTAAAAAATGTAGAGGGTTTCCTCAACCACCTGGAGTATTTTTAATGATTCAAGTGACCAGTTTTATTTTCCTGCAACTAAATATCAGCACTATGCTGAAAAAGGTGTTTTTCTAGCTTGTTCCTAGACAACTAGAAGCCTGAACTTATCTGGGAGGCAAAAACTCTCCCCCAAACTCACAGAGATACAAGTGAATGTGCTGCAAGAATATATTACATCCACGATCTTCTGTTATTGTGTACTACAATACTTTGCTTTATTCTCTGCTTTATTCACTATGTATTTTTTGTCTCTCTGCAAGTCTATAAAAGAGAGAATAATGATTGAAGGGCCTTTTGCTGTACCCTGCTCAGGGCGAGGGCTGTGTTAAGAACGCTACACCAGACACAAAACGGACCTTCAGTTTGTCCTGGGTATCTTGCAGACAATATTCCATGCTTTTCTTTTCTACCTCTTTCTTTCAAGGGCCTCACTTTCAATAAAGGTACCACAACGGTAAAAGTTCACATTTTAAATAAAATAAAAATCATGAACAAAGCCAGAAAACAAATGAATCCACCCCTCTTTAGAATGCAGCAAATAAGTTTCAATCTGCGGAAACTTCCTCCACCAAGGTGAGTAATTACAGAAGATGACCCATATTTATACCAGTTACTCTTTTAACAAGGTGCACAGAGCGAGTAAGCATAATGCAAGCTATAAAATACCTCTAATGCCTTCATATATGCTCCAACATCAAGTTTCAGACCATCGGTTTCTTTATAGTAGCGTCTGGAAATGAAAGTGATAAAGTTTCAATGAAATGAAAACGTTGGCAGTTAAATACAAAGAAACCACATTTTATTATTTCTGTGCCTATATAGACGTCCATATGGCTGCAACAAAAAGTCAAGTCATCAGAAACTCTGGAGCCTTAATTTAACACCAGGAATTAAGTAAAGGACAGGCTCAATACCGTGCAACGCCAGGAGAAAGATCTCAGACCGGATGCCCATCTGGCATCTGGGACATGATTCTACTGGTTCAAAGGGATTTCAACCAGCTTACATCAAGGATGAACTTGGCCTGCATTTTATTGCACAGAGTACAATAAAGGACAGCAGTTACTTTGCTCTTCCTTTAATCAGTGATGGAGACCCCTTGGCAGCCACAAGATGAGAGATGGCTCCAACCAGCAGCTCTAACACCTTCTTCAGTAGATCTGGAAGGGAACCCCAAATTGACCATCACTGCTTGTCACCAGCCTCCCACACGAGGAAAGCCAGGGCACTGTTTATCGGGACTAAGAAAACCCTCCAATCTAAATTTTCTTCCTTCTAAAAAATGTTCCTAATGCCGTGGAGCTCAGAAAATTAGTTAGCATCTTTATGGTGTTTTTCTGGAATAGTGAGTCACATTAACACAGGTCTTCCAAGCTCTCCTGATCAGAGCGAAGACAGGTTTCTATATGATGGGGAAAAAAAGGTGGGATGAGCAGTCAGTTAAGATTTTATGCCTTATCCTTCTGCCATTTTCGATTATTCAGCACAGCCTCTCTTTAAAATGACCACTTGACCTTTGCTAGAACAGCCATTAACCTTCTATAGTCTAGCGTAAACAGCTTAATTTTCTGACAGTGGCATGACAGAAGAAATTACAAAGCCAATTCCCACTCTCTGCCCAAAACAGATGCTAAATGTAAATCACTCCATTTTCAGGAGGAGGGCATTCTGCTTCAGTGACTCTGACACTTTCGTTTTCTATGGAATGAACTAAAACTTCAACCAAAATCAACTTACTTGCCCAAGGCAGGCACCTTGTTAAGGTCCACCCAATTACACTGATTCTGCATGTTAAAAATGAAGCTGGTTTGTGACTGGTATTTGTACGTGGCCCTTGGCATCAACGAGGCTTCTCTAGTTAGGAGAACAATTCATCCAATTTATAATCTCCCTTCTTCAAGTCAGAGAACTTGTCTACCTGAGAAACTCATTTAGAACTCACGCTCACATCACCTAAATGATCAATCATTAAAAAAAAAAAATGCTTATGATGAAAACTGAGCTCAGAATATCCAAAAAAATCTATATTTTTAAATGAGAAATAACATTTCCAAAAAAAATAACAGCAGGGCTGTTTTAGAGCCATCTACATCAATGAATGAACAAATAAATAAATACTTTTATATGCGCAGGGTATGAAGGCAGTTTTGTATTGATCAACGTTGCAAATCTTAAAGGTTGATTCTATATTTCATTTTGAGAGATAGTATTACATAAGGTAATACTTGGTTATTTTATGTGCTGGCAGCTGAACATTTTCTCCTTATCCTTCTAACTGAGAAAGAGGAAGGATTTTCCACCCGTTTTATAGGATCAGCGGGTGAGTGTCAGGTAAGGAAACACAATGGATTTAACTGCTCCCTCCTGCTGGTAAATTCTACCCGGCTGGATCAATAACCCACAAACTAAGGCAGCTTTTCATGCCCATTATGGTCCACTGAAAAAAGGTGTCACTACAGTTTCCTCAAGCTAAACACACACAGTCTTTTTAAGCCTGAAAAAAGGTGTCACTACAGTTTCCTCAAGACACACAGTCTTTTTTAAGCCTTATACATTGCACCCTTGGAATCATTATGAACCCCCCCGGGCCACCCATTGGACCAGGACCTATCAACCACAGACAAGAATAATGCCTTCAAGACCCTTGGGATTTGTCATTTTTCAGTGCTGGCATCAATAACCTCCTGTTTAGAAATCTCAGAATACATCTGACTGAACTGTTTTTAGGAAAACATTCGAATTCTCTGACTGGATTATCCCTGCATATATAACCTCCTGTTTAGAAATCTCAGAATACTTCTGACTGAACCGTTTTTTAGGAAAACATTCAAATTCTCTGACTGGATTACCCCTGTGTGTGAAAGCAGCAGGTCAAAAATTTAACTTTAATGTTTGGAGAATAATTAAAAATGTCTTTTGATATTCAAACTATCAAAACAATTGATCTGTCACTTGAAAAGCACAGTTGTTTCTGCAGGTCTCACCAGCCCAGCCACTTCTCACTATATCCTTGAGATCTACCCTTAGGTCTTCTCAGCCACCACACTTCACTCTCAGCTAGAGGAACATCTTCTCCCACCTCCATCACAGTTTGGCTAGAGTTTGGCATCTTGAAGTGCCCCTTAAACACCAAAGAGTGATGTATGTCCCATGGGCCATTAGCCACATCCAGTACCACACCTCAACCACTACAAAAGCGGGCAGGATTCGAACCTGGAAGCAGAAACCCAGCTGACTGGTGGCTAAAAGAGGATTTTGGGACCAAGATGAACTGCCTAAAAGTTGGTAGTGTGAACACCCACACTGACATCTGGCCTCCATTAAGTACGAAGGCACTGAGGGGAATTAAAAAATGTAGAGACATGAGGAAGAAAATTGTTTAACTCACCCTCTGCCCAGGGAGATCAAAACAGGCTTCTCCATCCCAATCAGGACTCGGAAAGCTTCATTAAGGTTTGCATAGGTGAAGTTTTCTGCTGCATCTCCGATAACCACGCAGTTCGGGTTTGCTTTATCAATCTCAGCAAATTCAGGGACAAGATCTACAGAAGGAAGGTAAAAAAAAATATATCCACAAACCTTTTAACATTTCAGATCCCATTGGAACTGACGGATTTCCCCCAGATTTGGGTTCCCCTTCGTTCATTACACAACACATTAAAAAAAAAAAAGGAATCCAAGTCTGAATAAGCTGTTTTTCAGAGCCCCTCTATTCCTGTCTGGATCCTGTTATTCATCTGAGCAAAAATAAAGAGCAAAATAAACCATTTCCTACCCTTTCTTTGGCTCCCGCCACCCACATCTCAGTGGCCCATTACACCCAAGCACCCACACCACAACTGGGAGCTCTTCCCAGCAGGAGTTAGGGGATTTCCCTGCTCTATCCCAATGTCCCACATCTCCCTGGGATGTCCCCCTGCGTGTCCCAGCATCTGCTGCAGCGTTGTCCCACCGTCGTGCACGAGCAAGTGTGGCCTCAGGCCACGCTCCTTCAGGATGCGGCAGGCTGCTGGGGCTGGGGCGGTCACTTCGGCCACGGAGATGTCAAAGCCCATGCCCTGGAGCTTCTTCACAAACTTCTCCCGGGTGGCTTGGGTTTCGTTCGTGCAGAACCGCAGCTTCAGACCAGATGCTTTGATCCTGTGGAGTAAAAGCAGCAGAGAGGTTACCCAGAGATAGATAGAAAAGGAGCTAAGAGTATCAGCTTCGCTGTCCCACACCTAAATTGGATAATTACAATAAAAATTCAAAGAGGAAATGCCAGAATAGGAGCAGAATCCCTTACTGTGACCAAGACACAAGCTAAAATATTGATTTTGGCCACTACAGAGCCCCTGCCATAGCATGTCGCTGCCCTTCTGGAGCAGAGAGCTAAGCTGGACACAGAAGCATGGGTGATGCTCACCATCCCCAGGGTACCACACTCTGTTGGGCACACGCTTCCCTCCACACATCAAAAACTCCAAAATCCAGTTCCTTTTCCTTAAACCCATCCACGAATGTCAACACAGACAACCTGAAGGCACTGCACAGCCGTGAGCCAAGTACCTGGTGTGACGCCACTGGCTATTAATTTAAATTTCTGATTAAAATTGAAATGCTAATGCATTTTAACTTGGATTTTCTCCTTTCCGCTTACTGATGACCCGCTGCCGTGATCTGCTGGAGGCAACAAGCAAGGCTCTGCACTTCTGCAGGCTCCAGGTAAGAGGCCAGATAGTTGCAATGATACTTATATCAAAACTAGGGTGGCTTCAGTCCCATTTATCACTTAATCTCTCATAAAACACCTGTGCTGTTACTTGCAGGGTAATCCTGAAAAATATGGTACTTCAACCCATTCATTAATAAGTGTTTACAGGTGAATGGCTTCTGAAGGGAAGAAAACATGGTCCCAAGTGCCCAGAGCCAAGGACATGGTTCTGGTGGATCAGTGCTCTGCAAACTCCTCCAAGTCCTCTGCATCTCAGCGGCTTTGTTTCCCCACCCAAGCTGTGGTGACCTGCCGGGGATGTCACAAAAAGGCACCTTCTCCAAGGAGAAGTTGTCAGCTATTGGGAGAACCAATGTGCTTCAACGCTTCAAATTAGAAACACTGAAAATACACCACAATTTAAAAAAAAAAATGGATGTCACAAAAAGGCACCTTCTCCAAGGATAAGTTGTCAGCTATTTGAAGAACCAATGTGCTTCAATGCTTCAAATTAGAAACATTGAAAATGCACCACAATTTTTTGTAAAAAATGTTTGCCAGAAGGACTGCCACTCAGCTCCTCAAATATATTAAAATGCCTAATTTTGGCCAGTTTTGTGTTAATTTGTACAAACTAATCTTCGAGGAACTAATCTAATATAGGTTTAGATACTTAGGGGCTAGCTTTACAAATTCATATTAAAGTATTATTACATTTCTCTGCGTTAGGGTGAAAAAGGACTTTTCTATTAGGATACCCCTAATTGAAGTCCCTGCACTGATTCTCAAGACAACAAAACGTGCTGGGTTCCTCTTCTAGGGAAGATGATCCCAACTGGTTGGTGTAAATACTGAAACTACCTCGAGTCAGGGCATCCGATGACAAACTTTCCACCAAAGGATTCTTAGAAATCTGGTCCTGACTCAGAGAGCCCCTTCTGCTCGTTAAAACTGTGCAGCAGTGTCTTCTTCAATAATGCAAGTGATTCATTTCTTTCTTATTATTTGTCTTTCCTAATCATAGGTATGTGAATTATCAATTACACTTAGTGGTTAATTGCCCTTCATAAAGATAGCTTTTCTATTTTAAATTAGGCAGTTAATATATTGTAACTAATAGCATCCACTTGTACATTATAAATATATCTTCATTGATTGGAGCAGTGAATGTGAGATTCACTCACAAGTTAATGAAGCAATTGAGTGAAGAAGTGCAGGGTGTACCCAGGGAATAATTATTGTTAATGAATTATGATGTGACCTTCTCAGAACAATGAGCAATCGGTGTGACAGAGGGATGACAGTATTCCACATCTGTTATTCGAAACACGGCTTCAGCTGTAGTTAAAAAGCAAAGCAGTGTAATTTGGATACATAACAAACTTTAATAGAGTGTGCCGTGGTTAAAAAAAAAAAAACAATCTTATTCTAAATGCAAAGCCTATCCACACACTCTTAGGGAAAAAATCCCGTGATTCAGGACTGCCTGGAAGCAGACATTTGTTGAATAAGAATCTATTCTTTCTTTTCCTATGGGTCAATAAAATAAATCCAGGAACAACAGGAAGCACCGACTTGCACCAACAAACAACCCCCATCACGGGTCGACTTGGTGAAAGAAAAACTCCATTTTCCCTAAAAATTTAACTTCCTTCTCAGGATTTTAGATGAAAAACAGAGTTAGACTTCTGAAAGGCTTGACCAAGGCAGGAGACTGGACGCATCCTGCACCGCTTCACAGCTTCGTGGCCACCGGCAATTACCACCTCAACAAATGAGCTCAGTAACTGCTTGGGATCGGGTGAGATTTACAGAGTTAGGTCAAGCTGGTCAGAAAATGGGAGCCCTCTGGTCAGAAAAAGGACTCACAAAAATATCCTGGAACACTAAAAAAAAAAAATAAAACCATCAAGAACTCCAGAGAAGACTTATTTCTACAAAAATACCTTCTCAATGAAAAGCCAGCTTTTCCTTCAAAGTTAGCATCTCTGAGAAGACCCTCTGCTAGCTCTGTGCCAAATCCTTGTACAACAGTCACACTCACCAGGACAAATCCATCCCTCGATGCCCAGCACGGGGACCATGAGCCTGCAGGCCAGCACGCATCAGCAAACACCTATTAACTCAGAGCTCAGATAATTAGGGAGAGCTTTTAACAACTGCTCTACGTGGGGGAAATGCTGGCTCCACTTGTGTTCACAGCAAAACTTGCCTGTTTTCACGGTCAGGTTTTGCACCAGGAGAAACTAAGAGATGCCTTGAAAGTCTCTAAGGGAGGGGAGATGCTTTGCACAGTCAATAGTCTGATAGGATGAGGAGTAATGGTTTTAAACTGAAAGAGGAGAGATTTAATTAGGTATTAGGAAGAAATTCTTGATTGTGAGGGTGGTGAGAGCCTGGCCCAGGTTGCCCAGAGAAGCTGTGGCTGCCCCATCCCTGGAGGGGTTCAAGGCCAGGCTGGATGGGGCTTGGAGCAACCTGCTCTGGTGGGAGGTGTCCCTGCCCAGGGCAGGGGGTTGGAACTGGATGATCTTTAAGGTCCCTTCCAACCCAAACCATTCTGTGAATACTGTATTGGAGGCACTGCTGAACTGCTCAAGCTGGGGAGCCATGGTCCCTTCCAACCCAAACCATTCTGTGAACACTGTACTGGAGGCACTGCTGAACTGCCCAGTTTAATGAGAAACCTCGAGCTGTGGAGCCAACCCAGCCACCAGCGTTCCCATTTTACGAAGCAAGTTACTGCAATTTCTCGTCCCAGCAAGCGTGGGGATGTTGGGAGAAGAATACAGAGCAAAATTTGTAACACGATGCCTTCAGGAGATAAAGAGCAAGGGATTAGAGACCGGCAAGTACAGAAGAACGAGGTACCAGCAGATGAAATACATGACACGTTTTATCAAGATCTCCAGCGTATTAGGGATTTATCAGCATCTCTATTACAAAGCGCCGGTGCCCCCAGGAAGCCCAGTCAATCAGGGTTTCAGCCGACCTTCCATACATCAGGGGGGTGACAAAGATCCCAGTCTGGCTCCAGAAGCACCAGCAATCGATCTCCATGAGAGCAGGAGCCAAGCAGGGGGACAGGCAGTGCCATGCTCCACGCTGCTGGGACTCCGCACGGGCCAGGGAGCTGGGGACATCCCCAGGCCACCCCGTTTGGGGCCATCAGCAGACTCACCATTCCTGGCTTGTATTAGAAATAGTGTGACCAGCAGAAGTAGGGAGGTGATTGTCCCCCTGTGCTCAGCACTGGTGAGGCCACACCTGGAGTATTGTGTCCAGTTTTGGGCACCTCAATAAAAGAGAGATCAGGAGGTGCTGGAGTGGGTGCAGAGCAGGGCAACGAAACTAGTGAAGGGCCTGGAGAATAAATTGTACGAAGAGCGATTGAAGGAGCTGGGACCGTTTAGTATGAGGAAGAGGAGGCTGAGGGGAGACCTCATCACTCTCTACAACTACTTGAAAGGACACTGTAGAGAGGTTGGTGCTGGTCTCTTCTCACAGGTAATTAATGACAGAACGAGAGGGAACGGCTTCAAGCTCCAACAGGGTAGGTTTAGATTGAACATTAGGAAGGAATTTTTCACAGAAAGAGGGGTCGGGCATTGGAACAGGCTGCCCAGGGAGGGGGTGGAGTCACCATCCCTGGATGTGTTTAAGGGCCGTTTAGATGTGGTGTTGGGGGATATGGTGTAGGGGAGAACTTTGTAGAGTAGGGTAGATGGTTGGACTCGATGATCCTAAGGGTCTCTTCCAACCTAGACGATTCTATGAATCTGCTCCATTTCCAACACGACTGCAGAAACCATTCCTAATGCCCATGAGAGGAAGGAGGGGACTTGAACTTCACCCACGCACAGGGAGCTAGGTGTGAAGGGGGAGCAGCTTTTGGGGGTGTCACAAAGGGCAAACTGGGCTACGAGCAGCTCTGCAGCAACAGAAACATGTGGGAGCCCCTCTGGGAGGGGAGGGCAGAGGGTGCAGGGCAGCAGGGAGCAGAGGACAAGCTCAATTGCACCCATCCAGTTGGCCCTGCCGCCAGCCCCCACTGTGTGAAGGCACAAAACGGGCCCTGAAGCAAAGGAAAAAGTCACCGAAAAAAACTTCCAAGCCCCAAATTATAAGAAGATGGGAACCCACCTCAGGTGGGTCACCACCTTTACCCAACAGGTGGGTGAGGAGACTTTCTAAAGCCTTACCAGAGGAGGGATTTAAACCCCCTCCAGACAGAAACAACCGCTCAGTCGCCCCAAACTATCCCTAAAAATCCAGAACTGGGCACGCCGTGAGCACCCGTAGAGATGGAAATGAGGTTTTTAATTTCAGCCCCTCACGCTACGCCAGCTCTTTGAACTGACCTTTACCTCGTTCTGGCGGAGCAGGACACGACGCTGAGTGACAATGTCCCACCATGCAATTACCGTGCGTCAGATGAGCCGGTCCC